AATCGGTGGCTGACTAAATACTTTTTTGCCCCACTGTACATTACCAAAGTGAGCTGACTCTACCCATGAACAACATTAGCTAAGTGTTGCAAGCTAATCCTAAAATTACTGTTGGACACAGAAAAAACCCGACAATCAAACGACACTTCTGACCTTCACGATCTTCTGAAGGCCCAGCCTGACTGTGAAGCCCGGGTCCTGGGAAGGATGCAGTCCCTGACTTAGGACACACCTTTTGTTTTGCTGACTCCTGTTTTGCCACTTGATGTCACTGAAACAAAGCTTTGAATGAATGAACTCATCCACCAAGTAAAACTGGAAACGGGTCAGTTGCAAAATTCAGAAACTATAACTCTTCATAGAAAACAAGGGACTTGGAAGACTGAGACATTGAGAACAGGTTGTTCAGGCCGTGATTGATAACGTGATCAATAACAGTTCCCCGAATTTCATCTGAGACCTTCCAGCTACACCTCTACCCCACACAGACTCCTCTTCCTCTTAGAACTCCTCCATCCACGCTGATGAGAAACAGCACAGACCCCCTCTGAAGGCCTGCAGACTGAGTGCTAATTGAAGATTTGAGTGAAGGCGTGTCAAACAGGTGCTTTGGTGATTTCATACAGATCTAGATGGTTTCTAATATTTAGGAGCTGTTTGGTTGCATTAGCTAAAACAGTGAGGTTTGGGCTGTTTGAATGACAGCTGTGTTAAGAAAGGGTTGACACATTTGGAAGAGGCGTCTCCTGCTCTGCTCAGAGACGATGAAAACTGAGGGGATCCCAGTTTCTTTAGGCAATCAAGAAAAACTGTAATTACCTTCTGCGTGGCCTTTTGTTCTCAGTGGTGGTGCCAGCGTACTAAACTCACAGGCAGTAGGAGAACACGTTCTCCACTGAGGAGCACTAGAAGACCAGCAGCAGCTTCTGGGCCAGGTTGGTCCTCCTCAAGGCACAAAGGAAGTGCAACCAGACTCCACCCTTTCTTCATTTATAATGAGAAGAGGCTGGATCTGCGGACGAATCATTCAAACATTGACTGTGAGACCAACACATGGGTGTAGCACGGCTAATGAACCAACAACAAGCCGCTAACAGGCTGACAAGTAGAGAAGAATAATGTAAGTATTATAAGATGTTAAGCTGTGTGTCTTTTTAAATATAGCGACATGTCAATATTTAACTTAATTCTAAATCTGTCAGTTGCAGTAAAACCATTAGCAGTTAAAGCTGGAGCAGCCGGGCATCTTAGAAAGTGCAGGACAGCGTGATCGTGTCCAGCAGGTGTGCGAGCTGGAGCTGCACAGAAGTAGCAACATGGCAGCTCCTATCCGGTTGTTCAGTGATGACGTGACGAATCCTACTTCCGGGTCTAAAGTAGTCTGCGTTTAATGTGGCTTTTGTGTTGTTAACATGTTTAATGTTTTGTATTTTCTTCTATTTAATCTCAAAAAGCTCCTAAAACAGTCAGTGATCACTGTTGACCTCCCTCGGCTTTTATTACCGCTAATCATTTATTTAAGCTCAGTTTTTAAAACCTTAGGATGTAACTACAGCCCAGCCCATGCAGCAGTATATGAATGACTAACCTCGTATTGTGGATGGATTATGTCAGTTGTTCTCCTGGCTGAAGTTTGGTCCTTTTACAGCATCCTGCCATGCGATTACATTTGTTCCTGACCACCGAGAACACTCACGTTAACTTTTATCGAGTGGAAAAAAAGTTAGCTTGTTTATATTATGCTAACATAGCTGTGTCGCTAGCGGTCACGTAGCACATCATTATATAGCAGCTAGCCCAACTTCAGTAACCCTACAAACGTCACTGCTGTTTAGTTTTCTGTCTTCATTTATGCTGGAAGTGATAGCAGAGCTGTACGTTTTAATTTGTTTCCAAAACCCCGCAGTCAGGACATGCTATATTGTATTTAGATAGAAGCTAGCGAGCTAACTTCCTGCTAACTTCTAACTCCGTTAAATGTCATAAATTCCGTTTTCATGGATGCCTGGATGTTAAACTCAATTGTTACACCTGGTAGAGCAGAACGCTGATCATTTTATTAAAGATGAAAGACTTTAGACAGTTTTTCAACTCTCAGTAATGCCATAGTGATCGTTTGATATATGGACCTGCAGCGGAGTTTAGGCCCAGACACGGCTAGTGACGTCAGACTGAACAACCGGATAACAGCACAGTGGGGGGAGGAGCCAAGTCCTCACTCTGTGACACAGCCACAAACAGCTTTAGTTGTTCTTTGTTGTGGAATTGTGAATTTCCCTTATGAATCTTGTGTTTGGATTTTTGTCCTATAATAATCTATTTGTGTTTTACTTCCATTCCTGCTGTATGACCTTTAGCTCCTGTTTTAAACGTTTCAGCTTCACTGTAATAAAATTGAACTGATTACCAGTCTCACTGCTTAAACAGTATTTTTACTATCTGTCCATACGTTTCATTTTGGCTAAATAAATTATTGCTAATCATCCCCAGTCTTACTGAACAGTTTGTCCCACCTGGCTGTGATTCACTGTGTTCTTGTTGTACGCTAACCAGAGAGAAGAAATCCGGTTGGATACGTTCACCACACTATATCTGAATATTCTGCCACAGTTTGCAGTAAAAATGCTTTCACTGCCAGCTGAGGTCACCCTCCAAACTCTGATTAAACGTGTCAGTTTATTCACCCTATTATGCAACTCCATCCTGTTGTCACTGATTGTCGTGTGATGGTGCTGATGTGGAGGCTGCTGCTGATCAATAAAAAACTGTGCGTGTCCAGAACCTGGGAGGCATTCTGTAATTAAATCAATATCTGTGCCGTGGCATTAAGATTATTGGCTACGCTGGCATTTAGTCACCGTTGTCTTAAACCGAGAGTATAAACTGGCTACCATAAGAAATCAATGGCTGCATATCACAACCAGCATCCTAATTACCTGGCAAGGAATCAATGTGGCTTTCTGCGTTACCGCTCTCTCGGGGAAATCACAGGACGCTATTTTTCTTGGTGACTCTGCAGCTCAGAAGATTACGCCCATCAGAATCAGAATCCGTTATTATTCCCAGAGGAAGTCACAGCTGCTCCGAGACCGTAAAAGAGCAGCAGAACACGTTAAAGGACCAATATAAAATACTAGAGTATATTACAGAATAGCTCTAATATATAAATATTCTGATATATGACACAAAATTGAAATATAAATGAAGCTGAAATTGAGGTGCAGATACTATTGTCGCACGTATGAGTGCTTATAAAAGCTGTACAGAGAGAGCCGCAGGCAGGAGTCCTTTCAGCTGAACAGCCTCCCGTGACGGCACCTCATGGGGTGGGTGGGAGCTACTGGACTGGATCTGTTCCTGTTTAGGCTGAAATGGTTTTGATTCATGAAGCCATGCAATGATGTAAAAAAATACCTCAAATGCATTTCACTTTCAAGTAACAAGCCTGTTTGGTAAGGAGTAGAAATGACAGATATTTGTAAAGAGCTGTCAGAATTCAAATATCTGACTGTATTAAAACACATTTTCTCATTGCTTCAACAATTAAATAACACAGAGAAAAATGTTTCAATAATTGGTAACAATAAAAAATTATAATAATTCATAAATTTTAAGAGGATGGAGGCGCTGCAAGCTTTGACATACTCCACAGTGTTATATGTCCATAACTGTTTAAAGAAAGAACGTAGAAGACGATGTGTCTAGATGGAAATCTCTACCCACATCACTCATGTGAAGGGTCCATTCAATAAAAATGATGCTCTTAGCAAGAATCAATCATTTATTGTCAATGATCCCGAGCTCCAGACTGGTTCAGATCTCTGGATTGTGTATTCCTAAACCCCCGCGTGTCAGCTTCGAAACACTGCAAAGGAGCAAAGATAAAGCAGGACTGGATCCGCCTAACGTTCATCACTAAACTAAACTAAACGCACAATGCTTTAGTGTACTGTTCTAGCTTTGCTCTACTTACTATCCCGGCTTAGTTAGTGGTTGCATTATGTTAGTTTACATCCATGTATATGTTTTTAAAGTTAACACTATTGAACCATCAGGTCCTTTTTCTGTTAAAGGAACATTTTTTGTTGAATTATGCTTGTTGACGTTGCTTTGGTTACACTTACCGTTGTTTGTCCCTTTGTTCAGATCTCCCATCCAGAGCAGGTGTGTGGGCGGGGCCGGCCCAGCACTTCCTGTTTATGAAGGTTCATGATGTCACTGACTGCATCACTGGGTACAAACTAAGCTTTTTGAGTTGTACTGCATAAAGTGTTTTACTTTTGAAACCATTTGAGTGTAAATGAGTTTGTAAGATAGATGTACAGTGTTTTGTTTTTTGGCTAACCTGTTTGTTAATGAGAGACTGATGAGGTTCAGGTGTGTACAAATCTGTACACAACCAGTGAGGTTTGGACAACCGGGGTTTTTTAAGATGGCAGAAAATAAAATACACCAAGAAGAAACTGGACCAGTCTGCTGATGCTGTCGTCTTATCGCTACCTCACACTAATCAAGTCCAATTTCACTCGCTGGGCCACGTCCTCGTTTTAGGTTTGACAGCGTTTTAGTAGGTAAAGGTGATGCTTAGACATGAGTTGAGCTGCGGTTTGGGGAAGACCTCGAAGGCGACTAGTGACGCCTCCCTGGCAGATCCTCATGCACTAAATAGAAGTGAAGAAGCTAAAGAATTGAGAACAAGGAGGGAGGGAGGGGCACGTAGACGAGAATGATCAGCTTGCAGAACTGAGGGAACACAGGGAGCGTGTTTGGAGGCGTGGTCCTGCTCCTGAAATTCCGATGTGTAATCTCCAATACAAACACCTGATCTCAAAAGCCCCAAAATTACTGTCTAACACATACAGGACACTCCAAAATAGATGCCCCCCTCTCCATGCTAACCAAGCATAGGATGGAAACTTTGAAATCCACATTTACAGCAAATGTTCCAACACTGGGAGGAACTGTTGCTTCCAAGAAATGGTTGTTTCTTGGTTATGACTCTGTGACTTTCCTCTGGGAGATTTCCTCAGTTTTTTTTCCTTTTTATTTAAATGACTCTCAGTATGTTTAATATCCTCCAGAATCTTGATGTAGTCGATTATTCAGATTACTAAATTGGATTTTAAAGGTGTGAAACATCCTGTTAAGTGATCTAAGTGATTCTCTCACCTCAAAGCTGAACTTTTCTACAGACAGACATTTACAAGATAGAGACCACTTTACCCTGAAATGTCCTTGGGAAATCTGCCACTCATTCAAACGGACCGCTCGTGGTCACACCTGCGCCTAATCCCCCACACTTAGATCTACATCTTATTTTAACTACATAATGGCTGTGTTGACTTTTGGAGACTTCTTAATCCACAAACAAGAACATATTCATTTTTTTAAATCTTATTCCTGTATTGATTTTTTTCACTGACAGTTTAAAGTGATTCCCTCTGACTGTCATCCAGCTGTGCTTTAGGGTCATGCCCCCCTTACTGTGGACTCTAGACCAATCCCGTTTCTCCTTCCCACGGGGTTTCTATTCAGTTCTGCTTTCAGATGATACATTTAATGACTTCATTGCACCAGCAACTGGTGAATTTTTATCTATTAATAATAACAATTCAGTTTATGGGAATCTCTCAAAGCTTATCTATGTCTGCAGATCATTTCTTTTTCAGTTCACCAGAGAGAACCCAAAATCCAAGCTGCAAAGAGAGACGGGAAAGCAGGGAGGGAGAAAGAGACGTGGGGGAAGACGAGTACTAAAGGGCCGTGGGTCCGACTCCAAACCACGCTACTGCCCTCCAGCCAGGCAGCATGGGGTCACTGAACTGGCAAACACACTGAATCAAAAAATGCAGCTTCCCTGCAAAACAAAGTTTCTTGCTTTTACATCCTGGTGACAACACGGTGTATCCTTACTCCTCTGGAAGTCACCTAACCCCCCAAACTCCCTGTGGCTCAAAGACATGATGCCATTTCTCAAACTAGAAAAAACAACTTTCTTTCTTTTATTATTTTAGTTACTCACCAACCTTGTCTTTAGATTAGCCCACTTACTTGGCAGGGATAGTGGCTATAGTGGGCAGGTGATGTTGAAGATGGAGCTGACAGGCAGAAGGAAAACAGGAAGACCACCGAGAACATTCATCGATGTAGTGAGTGTGCAGGGATCGTGTGACAGCAGAGGATCAGCTGAGGCAACCCCTCGGAGGAAGGTGAATGAAAAAGTTCGTGCCCATCACTCCACAAGGCACCGACTCACTCGTCCAAGGTCAGCGTCTGTAACGTCTTCAAGTATAAAAGAAAAAGTTTTCTGCCTTGAGATGAACCTCAAATGTATTTGTATGCTGTTCAAGCCCTGCGTCTAATCCTCAGGAAGACGTTCAGCACAGATCAGTGGACAGGTCAGGATCACTTATGGTTGGCAGCATAAGCCGCACGCTTCCTATCGCAGATCTGTTGCTCTGATGGCTCATTTATATTTGCCATCACTGCCGACACGACTGGTGGTTCTGCCACGAGTGACGTAAAACTGCTGCAAAAGCCACACTCTGGTTTCAGCTGATGGTGCATCTCTTGTACACAGCATGGTGCTGCACGGTCACCTGACAGCAAAAGTCCAGCTGGGCCTTTGTGTGTTTTTGCTCAGCACATCTCGTCTTTACCAGAGTTTAGAGTTCAAAATCTCGACTTTAATATTGAAATTTTGACTTTATTCCCAAAATGATCAGTAATGTTTTTTTCCTTAAACATTCTTCATGCTTTCAGGAGAAACTTTAAAAAACACGGACTGAGACCATTTTGCTTCCTGTCTTTCTCCACTAACACTAATGTGCTGCATTTTACACTCTGGAGCTACAGTATAAATGTGACAGCTGACACACCTACAGCCAACATAACTTTAAACTAAACTCAACTTTACACTCTGCTGCATCTTTTACACTTTACCGACTTTTATTAATAATAAATAATAATAATGGATTGGATTTATATAGCGCTTTTCAAGAGCACCTCAAAGCGCTTTACAATTCCACTATTCATTCACTCTCACATTCACACACTGGTGGAGGCAGCTACAGTTGTAGCCACAGCTGCCCTGGGGCAGACTGACAGAAGCGAGGCTGCCATATCGCGCCATCGGCCCCTCTGGCCAACACCAGTAGGCGGTAGGTGAAGTGTCTTGCCCAAGGACACAACGACCGAGACTGTCTGAGCCGGGGCTCGAACCAGCAACCTTCCGGTTACAAGACGAACTGCCAACTCTTGAGCCACGATCGCCCCCATTTACAAGAATAAACAGGAAACAAACTGTTTTTCACTCTGTGTTTATTTTGTGAAGTGCGATTGTTAAATTATAACAAGTAAAAAACTTTGATCTTCATCACATTCTTCGCTTCAAGCTTTAAATTACCAGCTGGGTTATTCATCAGGACACTGAAAGCACCTTAAAGGAGCAGCAGATTTACGACTGAGGCTCGTGTGGATCTTCTGAGCTTCTCTTTAAAACGTGAAGCAGGTGAATTCAAGCCATGGGAAGCTCATGATACGCTGCATACTGTCCAGTCACCTGATGATAAATCTGTCCAAGCAAAAACATCTGTAAGAACCTTGTGTAAAACAAGACATGTCACATCTACTGCGTGTTTACTGCGTACCCACCTGCCTCTCAATGTCAGCCAATAGGCTGCTGGCTCCCAGGCGAAACAGGCCGGGACAGAGCCAATCATCACCCAGCTCTTCTTTGATAAGAGTCAGCCAAACCAAAGACTCTTCAGCTGTTCGGATGCCCCCTGCTGGCTTAAAGCCCACCTAAAAGAAGGCATGCACACGTGTGTCAATAAAACACACAACACACTTGGAGCACGATGACACATCTACAAAGGTGGTACTTGGAAATACACACGCCTAAAAAAAAAATGTTACGTGCACATGCGTCAACCAGCAGTTGGACCCATGTGACCTCAGTGGCTGTTTACGTTCCTCCCTCTGCTGCGACATTATCCACTCTGCCAGAGCCCGGCTACAGACTCAGCACCCGAGGTTCCATCTTTGGTGACCCTGTCCCCCTGCCAGCTTTCACATGGCAGGGGGACAGGGTTGGTACTGATGGACCAGGGGCTCTACTGGTCCATCAGTACCAACCCTGTCCCCCTGCCAGCTTTCACACAGTAGAGCCCCTGGTGCATCAGTACCTACTCGGATCTACTCAGCTCAGATCGCCACGGTTTGCGGGGTTTTCCATTAGGTCACAGTACCTGGTACTTTTTCAGTAGTAGTTGTTTGTCGCAACACTGACAATAAAGTTCTGAAGGCAAAAGCAGGTCAGAACTAACACGGTGTAACTAATAAAGAGTGTTTTAATCTGAGAAACTTTGCTTGAACCTGGTTCCACAGCAATAAAATCAAAACCATCCGTTTTGACACTAAATACAGAGAGCACACTGTGGCGAGCCTCGACTGGCCTACGATTGGTTATTGATGTAGACGCACGTCATGGTGACTCAACCTGTCTTGCAGCGCTGCCATGTAAATGTTTACATTAAGCGTTGTTCAGATTTTTGCTGCATCTTAATGAAACTGAGCAGAATTAAGTTCCTGCTGTTTGATAAAATGCTTCTTATCTACTCGAGTACTCGAGCTGCTCATACAACACATGACTCGCTCCACATTCATGCAAGTACTTCTTTCCATGTCAAAGACTTTCAGTCCATCAGTCACAGTGAACGTGATGCTGGTTTCATGAACATAATAAATGTAGTAACTGTTCTACAGTCAGTGAGTGTTCACGCCCACTGTACCTTGTGGCCCGTACTCATGAAGTAGTCACGGATGGCTCTCACCATCACTATGGCAACAGGGTAAGTAGCATTGACAGCCTCCTTCCCTGTAGACGTCTTGATGAAGTCTGAACCTGCCGTGTTGGAACAGATGAGATGTCTTCAACAAAAGCGCGTACTGAGGTTATGTTACATCGCTCAGCTGTCGGGTTTCGACTTCAAATTTGTCCGACAGGACGACAAACGGCTCGAGGCCGGCGTTCCCATGCAGGTCGACTGCACCGACAGCGCGGCCGGAGAAAAGCGTAAGCTGCTGCAACAAACGACAGCTTAATGCTCATCAATAAAAATCATTATTTCTTTCCTCGCCTTCCTTCACAGCCAATTATATTTTATCAGCTAGACTGATAAAAATAGAAGATGAAATGACGCAGTTTAACAGATTACCCACAAACTGCAGGGGCAGAAAAAAAGAGGCGCCGCCCTCCTGCCTCCCTGAGTTATAATGACCGTTCATTACCGAACAGAACAAGATGGAAATTTTACAGTTCATTAAAGACATGTTATATGTGTTTTTTCAGTTTCTCTCCCCTCTTTCTCAAACTGCCGTAATCCTTAAGATTCGTTATACGGAGTCTTAATTACCAGATAATGGATAACGGTTATTAAATGTGGGTGGCGGTAATGAAGCTCTATTCATTTGCGTGGGCAGGGAGATACTGGCGGGGAACAGCGGGGTAAAAAAGGCTATATCAGAGATTAATAGGTAAAATTATCATTCAATTTCAGGAATCTCATATGCAATTCATAGGAACAAGAGGAGATTAAGGAGCAAGTGTGGTGACAAAAGCAATGTATTTTAATGACGATCTCTATCAGAGCGCCTGACAATTTAGGTCCGTAATCAGCTTACTGTGTGACGGCTAGTTAAGCACGCTCGTGTGTGTGTGTGTGTGTGTGTGTGCACGTGTGTGTGTGTGACGGCTAGTTAAGCACGCTCGTGTGTGTGTGTGTGTGTGTGTGCTGTGTGTGTGTGTGCACGTGTCTGTGTGACGGCTAGTTAAGCACGCTCGTGTGTGTGCACGTGTCCTGTGTGACGGCTAGTTAAGCACGCTCGTGTGTGTGTGTGTGTGTGTGTGGTGTGTGCGTGTGTGTGTGTGACGTGTGCTGTGTGACGGCTAGTTAAGCACGCTCGTGTGTGTGTGTGTGTGTGCACGTGTGTGTGTGTGCACGTGTGCCTGTGTGACGGCTAGTTAAGCACGCTTGTGTGTGCACACATGTGTGTGTGTGTGTGTGCACGTGTGCCTGCGTGTGTGCGTGCACGTGCGCCCGTGCACGTGTCTGCAATTTTTGTTACATGGCGTAAATGTTTCTACATACGCTGCAGGTATGCAGGCAGTGAGTGCAGATCAGCTGTTATGCAGAGTTAGGAGCAGATCAACATGCTACTGTCATACAGCCTGTGTGACCACGTGCTTCATTAGACACGACAGAACAGATGACCAATGAAAACACGGGTCTGAGATCCTGTGTATCAACTTATTCTGTAAGCTAGTCTCAGTCATTTAACAGCTGACAGAGTGAAGAGCGAGTTTACACTGGAGGCCTTTCCTGCTGCGAGCCCAAAGGGCATCTGTGACTCTGCCTAAAAATCTTTATGATTTCACACCTTTGATCAAAACCATGAACCCAGCGTTACGTGGACATGAAGCCTGCATGTATAAAGGCTCATTTACATCATGGAGCCCTGTTCTCAACAACGGTCATAGACGTAACTGTGTGATACGTGTTTAAAGTTTAGTCTTGTGCAGGACACGACATCACCGGGTCGGCTCGTAGCTGCTAATAGTTCTATCCCTCCCTCCCTCGCCCCCTCTGTTGGCCAGCCCCTCTCCCTCTCTCCTTTCCCCCCCTCTCTCCCTCCCTCCCTCCCTCGCCCCCTCTGTTGGCAGAGCAGAGAGCAGACGTCTGCAACATGCAAGCATTTAATGGAATAAAACTGTCTTTCCCCCCAAACATCATAAGCAGCTGCTACATGTGCATCACACTACAAACACAACATTTCTTACCAAAGCACGACTGGGAATCCCAACATCATCAAACTCTCAGAAATCTCTGTTAGACTCCCCCCCTCACTCATTTATACAAACCTGAACATCACAGCTACAGGCAGACTTTCACATTTTAGTGCAGCGAGACAAAGAACGACGAACAGCTCGAGCAACAGGAAGTGAAAGTGGATGGGATGCTGTTGCAGCCAGAGGCAGTAAATGACCCCACACACAGTGGGTTACTGGTTCTCTCAGCAGTTAGCAAATATAAACTACAGCCCAGTGACCTCACACTCTGTAGACGCCGCTAAACATGTCGTAAAACCTTAAATCGAGCTTCACAGACTGAGTTGCATCTGTAAAAGGCCTCCATGGTGTAAAGAAGCTTCATACATGCAGCGTTTCATTAACACAGTGCTTTGTTATTACATCCACAGCCCAACCTGCTCGTCTTTAAACTGAAATTACTAACAGAAAACAAATATAAAGCTGGAACCATGCAGTTTTTATTTTATGATCAGCTTCACTAAAAAGTGTAATTAAACTATCAGATGAAGACACACACACACACACACACACACACACACACACACACACACACACACACACACACACACACAGAGTTGTGAGACTGACCAGCCATCATGGCGACCATGCTGGCTCTGTAGACGTTGGTGAACGAGCCGAGCTCTCCGACAGCCAGGATGGTCTTCATGTGGGCGGGGCCACAAGCCTCCCGAAACTGACGGATCTCGTCGTACATGGCTGCAGAGGGAGACACGAAACTGAAATCACTTGACGTGTTCAGTGCACGCCCGTGTGTGTGTGGGGGGGGACACTGAGGGAGGGAGGCCTCACCTTCTCTGCTGCCCTCATGACGCAGACAGACGTGACAGGAAACGGGCGGATTACTGGATTAGCCGATGGTTTGTTTTGTAATTGGCATTTCATCACGTATTAAACTCTTACTACAGGCTCAGACATCAGTATTAAACACACAGATCCTTCCATACAATCACAGTAACGACAGTGAGGCTGCAGCATACCTTCCCACTGTCCTGTAATGGCCAGCATCCTGTTGATGACGATGTCGATCTCCGTCGCGCCGTCACTCACTGCTATGCGCACTTCCTGCAGGCGGGTCTCCAGTGGAGTCTGGCCAGCTGGG